TCTCATTTCCCAGTTTTTCCTTAGAAGCTTTTGGTTCTCCACTGTTACCTGCCACTTCAGGTAGCCATGAAGTTAACCAACTGCCTTTAATTTTTCAAGACTTGCTTCTGGGGAAAAGCCTTTTCATGTCAGGTGAACTCCAAGTCATGTCAAATAAAGACAGCCTTCCAAGCAGAGTCTGGTACAGAAGCACCAGACAGGCCAATAATGAAAATTCTCAGAGAATGAGGCTTTGAAGAAGCTCCAGGTCCATTCTGGCCCTTCTGGAGACTGCCAAGTTACTGGTTTTCACTGAAAAACGCAGGCTGTTATTTGTTAAGGCTACTGTGGAGCTGGAAAGGGTAAGATGAGAATAGGGTGAATTAAACCACCACAAAGCTCACTGTTCTTACCAAGATTCAGCTGGTTTTGTTTTGAACACATGCTTCCTGAGTTGCTGGACACTTTTGGTTGATTTCCAGAGTTCTTAAAAAATTTATCTTGACAAATTCTGCCAGTTTTGTCAACGATTTTATGGAGAAAAGATTTTCAGAGGTTTAAACTGCCATTTTTTGCTGATGTCATTGTGGCAAATAACTCTGGAATTTGACTTTACATTACTTACTGAAATTTAATGTGTTTCTAGTGTAGGAGCTTGCCATTTTACTCTTAGTAATGCCACTGCGAAAGAGCAGGCCTGTTAAAGACTATCCATATCATATTATTCAAAAGAACAAAAACCCAGAAATTAAAATGTCCAACAAAATAAACAAATTATGATGTACAAGGGAATACTTCTCCACAATGAAAATGAATAACTCACAACAATATAAATTCATACGGATAAATCCTCATAACATGATTTTAAGTGGAGGGAAAGATATCTGAGGAATAATATATTTTATAGTAAGATTCCATTTTCACAAAGGTCACAACATACGGTAAAAACTATCAAGGAAAGGAAAAGAAATAATTTTAAAAATACAAGAGATTAATGATTATTTTGGAGTCAGATAGAAAGAGGTAAGTATTAAGAGAACTTTAATAGGGTTAGCAAAGTATTATTTCTTAAGTTGGATGAAAGGCTCTTAAGTGTATAGTTTATCATTATAGTCTGTAAGTTATAAGTGTAACTTGTCTTTTTGTATATATTAAATATTTTATAGTAATAAAAAGAGAATCTAGACCATTTGAAAGAGATGGCTTTAACCTTTTATTTTCCCCCCTTATATATTTGTGCTATTTCTATAGGAAATTCCTTATAGAGCAGCTGAAAAAGAACAGAGGGTTATGAGATTTACAGGCTTTGCCATTTATTAAACCGTGTACAGGATCTTAAAAAGTTACTTGATGTCTCTGAGCTGGTATTCTTTGGTGGTACTTTCTTTGAAGGCCATTGGGAGAATTAAGACAAATTACAGGTAAACTGCCCAGCCAGGAGTAGGTACTCAATGAATAACAGGACTTATTAGGAACAAGACATTATAATATCCATTTAAACATTAAAGAAATCCATCCATCATTCAGATAATCAGATGGGTTTTTTTTGCGCAAAAATTTCCACAAAAAACTAAAGCAATTTTTATTTTTATGATGATATTATAGCATTGCTATAACAGCATCAAAATGAACCCTCATTGTAAAACTTGGGAACTGTTGAATTATCTTTTTCAGCATTACTGAGGTATAAATGACAACACTTGTATATACTTAAGGCATAAAACAGGACATTTTATACCATTTTTTTAAACCAAGTATTGAACTATTTGTAACTTGAAAAAATACTCATCTCTTAGAGCTATATCTGTTTCTAGACATAATTTCTTAAATGTCCCATAGAAAATAAAACCATTTTGAGGTAAGTATTCTTCCAATTACAGTTTCCAATACACCTAACATTTCAGCATTTTCAGAATATTTGTGTTCCTTAGTACTAGAATCTGAGAAATGGCCAATTTTAGCATCTACTGATTCCAGAAATTTCCACTTGTGTGAGTGTGTTATACATGAAGATATACATGTATATATTGTTAAAAGCCTAGAAAACTTGAAAGTCCCCATAATTTCCACTGAACTCCACTGGGCATGTCATTTCTTTGTAAATACACCAATTTACTGCCATAGTTTGCTGCACATGGTCTATTTAAGCATTAAAATGAAACCCACTTCCTCTGCCTGGTTTATTCTAATTCCTTCAGGCCATCAGTACCTTCAGGCGAAAAACAGACAGAACCTGTCAACAGTTAGGGGTGCTGTGATCAAGTTCACTATGAAGCAAAAATTCCAGGTAATCAAATTTGTCCTCAGCATTTCCCTTTCTCATACACACTTATTTCCTAGGTCCCCACTCTCTATGAGTTCAGTGACTTAAACCTCCAGCTATGTCTCACTTCACAGGTCAGCCTCCATTCAGGACCACTCTATTTGAAATAAAGCTCTTAATTATTCTCTGTTTTCCAAGCAAAATTACTGCAGTGTCACAAAATACAGAATTATAATATGCCAATGTTGTTTCATGAAGTTACATTAATTTACTAGGACAATGGGGGTATAACATGTAAGAAATAAATGTAGATGCTGAAAACCAAAAATTAAACGCTGAAGTTGTTTTCTTTTTACATCTCTTATCAGAGGCTAACTTACTAGTGTCCTCAAATAAGCTTCTCTGTTTTCTTCATAGAATGAAGTGATGACTTCATTCAGGCCATTAGTGTTAATGGTCCTGGCAAGCAAGTGTACCAGCCCTGTCATACTGGAATCTGGGACAGGTAGACACTGAGTGACATTTCTTGTTAGCTAGAAGTCCTTAAACATGGTTCTCTGTATTATTCACTGTGGCTGCAAATCATTTGTCATTTCTACCTTTCCCATATGGCATTCCCATAGGCCTCCTAAACTATTTGCAACCAAGTGGCTCAGAAAGATAAACCAGCTGCTGTTATCTCAAATATTCACCAAAATAAGTTGAAATTAAGTTTAAAATATCTACTATTTGGTATGCCATAGTATGTATATTGAGAATCAGATCTAATTTTCATTTGCAAATAGCTCAGAATATCAGCACCATGTACAACCTTCAACATTATAAATTACCCCCTAGTGATTTTGCAGAATAAGAAACTGAAGCCCAGAGAAGTTAAGTTATTTGCCATCAATGACATACTTAAGTAGCAGAGTTTGGACCAAGATTTCTTGATTTTTAGGCTGGCTTTTTCTCTATTCTTCTCTCTCTTTTTAACCATACCGCTGATTTGTCAACCAAGGGGGAAAAGACTTTGCATGAATTCTTGTTCTTAACATAAATAACCAATGTTAATACAGCTGGTGGTCACCATGTCCATGCTGTATGTTGTTGACAATTTGTTTGGCTATTTTAAATAACTACCTCCTAAAAAAGAGAATTAGGCTTCTAATTAGGCTTCAAAACCCTTCATATATACATTTGGCAATTCTGCATTCTGTGAAGCTAGTAACAAAGATGATTTTGAGTGTAATATGTGGGTATTCTACTTGAGAATGTTTCTGAATTATTGACTAAACTCCCACAAAATCACAACAGTTAGAAATTGTGCATGCTAACATAATCATTTTGTTATTAAGTAGCTCTGTGCCAGCCTTACCTTTTAAAAATTATAATACTGTGGCTTAGCTGTTGCATTTTTTAAAAATTCTTTTGAAAACAAGACCTTCAAACATCATTTTTTTTTAAATGCCAATTTATTGTGTTACAAGTGATGTTTTCAGAGGAATTATTGCCAAAAGGCTACCAGGAGACAGCCAAAACCTCTCCATAAGGCTGATTCCTTTCCTCTTTCCAGTAGTTCATTACCAAAGGTAAAGACTGAGTAGAATGCACCATATTAATGACCCCATAAATCCCCTGAAATGAGCAGTTAATGTCCTGATGTTGAACAAGTCAACTACACATAAGGCATGCATATATATTTTTAAAATACAGCTCACCTTTTCAAAATTATATTTCTATTGGTTCTGACTTCTTAAAGAGTTAAAATAAAGGCTTCTGGGAAGACAGTAAATTATAAAGTGTACCTTCTTTCCCTGCGATTTTTTTTTTTTAACCACAAGTAGAATAGTCAGGTGTAACTGAATCAAAATTCAAAATCAAAATCCTAATTAGATTTTACTTTAGATTAACAAAACTTGTGGTGCCTATGCTGTTCACATTAATTTCCCATCCCTAAAATTGCTAAAAATACCAAATCAAACACCACCCAGATTTCCTTATGAAGTGTGTGAACTAGTGCATTAAAAAGTCATGTTAGCACCAACAAAGTTTATAGGGGCAACTGCATTCAAGACGCACATGGCATACCTTTAAATAGCACTGTTAAAATACCAAATAAAATGTCAACGTCTGTCAGGTCTCTGGCTTTTATAAATTGTTTAGACTGGGAAACGTTGGGGTTTAGACATTGTTCTTTTCATATGATGTAGAGAAGAAGAGACCATAAAAAGAAAAGAACAATAAAGCGTAGATCATTTTTGAAGTTCTTTCATGGAAAAACATACCCTGGATCATTACCCTTCTAATCAACAATTTCCTTCTTCCTCCCAATCCTTCCCGTCTGGTATTTACCTTTCTCCCCCACCCCTTCCCTCCCCTCTCTCTGGGTGGTATTCTGAGCTTATACATAGTATTCAGTAATCATATTTTTTTAAATTGCTTCAAAAGAGAATCCCAGGAGGACATGACAGACATGTATATACTGGGTATTTTTAACCTGGACCATAGTTTTACTCACCATTTCTGTACCCTTAAAAACACACCAGAGTGCCCTGACCACAGTTTCCCCACGAAGAAGAAGGCCTTGTGAGCAAAATCAGCTACTACCTACCTACAGATGAGTTATTATCACACCTTAGTGGCCATCTTCCTGCCCTCTTCCCTCCGCCCCTTTCCTTTTATTAGCACACCACACTAACCACAATTCCCAAACAACAACATCACTCTTTCAGCTTCTTCTCTGGATTTCCCACACTTAATGCAACCCAGACCTCACCTTCAGCTCTCCTGAGGCCACTTTGGAAGCCAGCTCGATGACACAGCCAACAGCCATGCGTGCAGCACCGGACGAGTGCAGCTCATTCCAAATGGTGTCACTGTCCACCTGAGCAAACAGTCAGCACAGCCCCAAGAAAGAGAGAGGGAAAACAAGAAGGAGAACGAATAGATGAAACAGGAAAGGGGTGGGGGGGAGAAGGGAAGAGAGAAAGAAAGCAAATTTGTGAGGAAGGGCTGGCAGGGTAACAGCCTAGGTACAATAACATTAGTCTTCCATCCCGGCCAGCTGAAAAGACCTTCTGGACACGGCTTTGCTTATACTTTTTCTCTATACTGACTTCTCCAATGGAAATACATTCCTGCCATGCCTCACTGCCATTCCCTGTTTAGATTTCTCATTACAAACAGCATTACATAGGCTGGATCTGGCGTAGTTACAGGCCTGCTAGAAACCAGGCCCCAGTAGTAGATAGAGCAAAAGCTAAGAGCACTTAGCTATACATAAAAATCGGATTTGCAAGTGCTAGAGGGGAAAAATTCAAATATCCTTCTGGCTGCAGGTTTACAGGGAGCCAAAGACAATTATTGGGCAAGTAGAAGTAGCAGTCAGGGAGTAGAAAGTAGCAACCACAGTTCAGGTTCTCCAACTGAATGGAAGGAGTGTGTGGTCCTCACACTTAAAACATTCACCAAATTCAGCTGCAAGGATCAATGTGATTTTCAAAGTAGAAGCTTAAAATTTCTAACATTTAGTACAGTTTAGCAGCTGGTCTTAATGTAGATTGGTATTATTAAAATTGGGTAGGCCATTAAAATACATGGTTGCTTATATAAGAGAACATTCTTACTAAAACAGAGCAGAAACCAATATTTTTGATTTACCTTTATAAAATGTTATTTACTCTTTTTCATGCATGCAGTAAGATAACATATAACAAGGACAGGAAAAGTATAATAATAGTGGTCTATGATGATCATATGTTACATATTTTTATGTATAAAATATTTCTTAATATAAAAAAACAGAATCAAATGTTTGAAGTCTCTAAACTTATGATACAAATTATATGAAGCCCTAGGAAATGTAATAAAAAATTTGTGACTATGCAAATAGCAAGACTTACTCAAATGGGTAAAAGAAGGGAAATCCCACACAAAATAAAATTTTTAAAAAAAAATAAGCTTAAGAAGCCTAATGACATGGAACAAATACAATAAATAACAATTATACATATTCACAATGCGCTAGGCAATTTCCTAAGCATTTTAACGTGACTTTTCTCATGAGATCTTACCAACTAAAATTCTGTCAAGAGCAATGAAGAAATAATAAATGAGAAAAGAAAATAAATAAATAAAAAATTAAGATCTCTTCAACAACAATAAAGTGGTGAAGAGAGAAGTTTCTGAATCAAATTGTCAGGGTGAAGTTACAGCTTCACTGCTAAAACCTGAATCATGGTGGGCAATTAATTAATGAAATGTCTCTCTGCCTTGGTTCCCTTTCTAAAGACACAGCAACTTTTTAAAGTCCCATCTGCATATGATTTTGGTGAGGATTAAATGAAAAAGTGATAAGCAAATCTTAGCTACTATGATTTAGGTTACTATTATATCCATTTTATAATGCCTTATACAAAGTAGAGGCCTTTTAAGTGTTTACTGAATGAGCACACTATGGCTTAGAGAGACTACTCAGCTGGCCTAAGGACCTTCATACAGAACCCTGACACTAACGTCACATGTCTTTCTACCACAATCCTGAAATAACCCTCAGCTTCTAAGAATATTAAGCCCCTGTCATAGTCAACATCATCAGGTCAACACTACCAGCTAAAAAATAAAGGAATCATCAAATGGAAAATGGAATCTAATCATCTGCCCTCCAAATTAAGTTTTACTTTTACTGAAGAATGTAAGCACTTATTTGAGCTTAATATAGACATATCCTTGAGGAATATGGTTGCTCAGGTTGAAAAATGAACCCCAACATTTATATTGTGTTGCAGTTTTTAGCCAATTTTCAACTATTACAGAGTTATAGGTGCCACAGAAAGTTTTCATTGATCAGATCTAAAATTATTGGGAAGGTAAGGAAACATAAATCAATAAATCCCAAAGACTTAATGGGTGAGTCAAAACCATATATAATTCCAAACCCCATTTTACTTGACTTTGGAGTACACTCAAAGTTTAAAAAAAAAAAAAAAAAAAAAAAAAAAGAAAAATTGATCAATCAATAGAAAATTTCCTTCCAAAAAGCTATAAACCTACAGTTGATTAGAAAAATATTCCAACACATAGGAACAATGTTTCTTTAATCATAATACTAAGGGGCATTAGATAGCCACAAATAACTCCAAAATTCACCTTTTTATCTATATCTTTCTATCTTCCTGGAAGTATTCTTATAGATATAATATTCTGTGTCTATGTCATCAATTTTGGTGTATAAACCTCTACTAATCAAGATACTTATTTTAATTCAGATAACATTTGTTAGGTACCTACTACGTAAGAAATGCTAAGAGTTATAGTATATGGGAGTTATTTTTATCATAAAGATATGATTATTGATAGTATATGGGGGTTATTTTTATCATAAAGATGATTATTGATACATGGTAGGCACATAGATGCTCAATGGGATGGATACTTGAGATTTTGACTATACCCAAAATTCAGGCTTATCCCTAAACAGGTGCTCCTTAGGAATCTACGAAATTTATCATCCATTTATTTACTTATACTCAAACATAAAAACATTTATTTAAATACTTCAACCCGTTTTATGTATAGTTTATAACTAAATGGTAACAATAGTCAAGATTTTGCATATAATCTATGCATAAACAGATAACTTATTTAATTCTGAATTTATTAACAGATGTTGTCTTAGCTCAGCTACCATAACAAAATACTATAGACTGAGCAGCTTAAACAAGAGGATTTTATTTCTCCCAGTTCAAGAGGCAAGAAATCCAAGAAGGTGTCAGCCAGTTTGGTTTCTGGTTGAAATTCCGGTTCAGTTCTCATTCTGGCTTGCAGGTGTCTGCCTTCTCACTATGTCCTCACATGGCCTTTCCTCAGTGAGTGCATGTGGAGAGAGATCCCTCTCTTTTCCTCTTCTTATAAGGCCACCATTCCTATTCAATTCAATTAGGATCCCACCTGTATGACCTCATTTAACCTTAATTACCTTCTAAAAGCCTTATTAAATTAAATCACATCAGAGATTAGGGCTTCAATATATGAATTTGTGGGGAAACAATTCAGTTCACAGCAAGGTTATATCCCCAAAATACGTTTATAAGTCAATTTATAAACATATTTTCCCAAGATATTATATTCAAAGTGGTGTTCCAGGGCCACTGGCTACCAAAATTAGTTACCAAAAGCTTCCCACATGTATTTACCATGTTATAGTTTAATAAGAGCTCCAAGGGTAACAAAGTATGCATGGCTCATGAACTCTCCTGACTATAATCTCTGTCACTAGAGGAGATTCCCAAATCCACTTCCTACTATTCTCAATGGCAAAAAGTATTTCTTCTCCTGTTATGTCCCTCTCATTGTTGGGTTTTTTTCTTTTTCCTGCATTAGTGATAGTGTCAAGAAGGTCACTGTCATATGAAAAGCTCTGATTTTAACAGGTGTAAGACCTTCTGACAAACTCTAGGTAAGAAAGGATGGTTGATTCCACTAATTGTTGGTGGTTCTGGCATGGAACAGGATACTGAGTGGCTGGAAAAGAAGAAAAAAGAGCAAGAAGAATTAGATTTAGGTGGGATATATGAAAACAGGATTAAGAAGCTAAGATGACAATACAATGATGGTGAAAGTAGAGACCAGAAGAACTTAGAACTGTAAAACAGGTGCTCTAGCATTTGAAAGCTGAAGGTAGAGAAATTAGGGAAGTGATGCAGAGTTGGCTCTGGATATGGCAAATAATTGTAAACAATGTAAACTGTTCTGGATAGGGGATAAGTCCTGGAAAGGGGAAAGAAATGGTAGGGGAAAGGGGAAATAAATGGTAGTGGAGCAGAAAGCAATCCTGCTAACTACACTAGCTGGTTATTAATATCTTGCTAAAGTTGTTAAGACATGCAAAGCAAATTCATAAAATCAAAACTACTATAATTTGAAAAAAAAATCAATCTGCTTGTATCTTTTTTCTTTCTATACACCATATTTACTTCCCCTTAGCCTCTCCACCAATTTATTCTTCAGCCTGATATGTGTGTGTGCACAGGCACACATGTACACATATGTTAGGAGGCAACAGTATACAAACTAGGGGAGATTAGGATTGATACAAAAGAAATGTGAAGAAACTGACATTCAAAATGGGATTTTGCATCAGTACACATAAAAATCTGGATTTTGTGGTCACAGAGGATTTTTTTCCAAATTCTTTTACATAACAAGAATTAAGCCGATGGTCTCAGGTTATAGTCTTACATTGTGACAGCATCAAGACAATCCTACCATTGCCTTTCTGATATTCAGCAAAGAGACTCTTTCTACCTATGACAACCAGGCCTAGAGTTTATTGATTTAGGCTTTAGATAGGATACAGTAAGAGGAAGAAAGAGCCAAAAGTAATCCCTTCAGGTCCAAAGAGATTGGAGAAAGGCAAATAATCCAAAGGTGCAGCAGAAGCACCCTACCAGGGAACCCCACCAGGCTTCATCTTGCAGTGAAATCAGGAGAAAATCAGCTGCTTCAAATGCTAGGCAATTAGGAACAATAAGATGGACCAGAGAAATCGCCACAGAAGCCTGAAGATTCCAGAGGACAGCATAAGCATCCAAGAACCTCATCAGGTCTCTATCACTCCCTCAGATATCCAAAAGCCATCTTGAAAGAAGAAAGCTCAGAGACTGAGCAATTACCTAAAAAAGACTGCATCCAATAATAGTAAGTTGATCTTGAAGAGATGAATGTATTAGTAATTGTGGAAAAGATCAATGTAATTAGGAAAAATAGAGCATATTTATCACACATGAGTGAGCATGACTAATTCTAATGTTGTGTTCCATTTTTAAGGTCAGGAATTTACTCTGCTAGATGACAGAGAAAATGTCTAACTAAGATGCTGCACAG